TAACGCTAGGATGCAGACTCTAATTTTTGCGCTCGAGAACAGGCTAATAGGAATTTGGTAGCTATAAGAGCGAACAAGATCCGTAGGAAAATATTATTCGCGAGCTTCGTGGAGAAAATCTGCGCGATCTACCCCTGCGACTTTGCCAGAGATACTGGCAATTTCCAGCGCCGCCAACACGTATGATCAAAACCATTGTTTAACGTCTTCAGGCGGAACGACACGCATGCCCGTTTGCTTTGTGCGAAAAAATATATTCTACACTCGCAATGCGGCAAACGACGAAGTCGAAAGGCTCGACGAATCGTTGCTATGGGACGATTACGGGACCGATCATTCTCCTCGAATAGTTCTTCAACTACGAGACAAAGAAAGTCGAAATGTCTTGGCTCGTAAATTATAGAAAGTAATATCCCGAAGGATGGAATCCCCTGCATCCGAGCGTTACCTCGTCTGGATCGACAAACTCGGCTGTTAATAGACAAACGTAACGTTGCTAGCACTTCCGGTTGTTAGCGGGATCACGTTGCGGAGGATGCAGACGCGAGTCGCGTGCAATATGACAGTTATAGCGCGGAAAGCAAGCCAATGGAAACGCTTTTTACGAGTATAACGGAATTCGCGCACCAGCTGATGAAGAGAGCATTCTCTATTTACAGATCTGTCGCGAAAGAAAATACCTCGTAAAAATAGCCGAAGCGCGAAGGGATGAAGTTCGAAAAGTCTTTAACGCGCAGTTTGCGAGATACTTTACAGTTTACGATCTTCGTGATAAGGTTCTCGAAGGGAGATACACTTGGATATTTCCCAAAAACTTCAGCCGTAGTTACCAGCGGGGTACGATATGTAAATTGCTCGCCCACTGGGCGCATCCTCTACTAATTCCTGGCAGATATTCAAAAAGCCAGAGTTTCGCAATGCCGGAGACCGCAACGAGACGGTTCGCCGATTATGCAGATTCGCGCTTTGCTGAATTTCGGGCTCGTTAACCCGTTTCCTTCGTAAGATCGTTCGCGATCGTGTTCCTTGTTCAATTCCAGATTAGTAGCAGAACCACGAGTTTTCGTTTCGAAGGAATTTTTGCACACGCTCCGATGGGTAGTCTAGCCTTTCGACGATGGTAGCTCGTTACTGAATTCCAGATTGGCAGAAGAACGACTTCTAATTTGCAAGAATCATTTTTCAACACGTGCCTCGATCATAGTTCCTCGTCGCACTGACGTATAATGCCATTCTTTAAGTTACTCGGTTCTCTTGGTTCTTTCGCGATTTGTCTGGGCGATCGATTAGGTGGGTTTTTCTCTTCAACGACGGAGCGAATTCATCGTAGGGGCAGGAAGTCGTGTGGCCGACGATCGGTTACATTGCCGATACGTTATTCCACTCGTGTTCATCGCGATGCATTAAAATCTCACGCACGGAAGCCGCAGAGCTGTTGCATAACTGTGCGTGCCCGGCGCGCCAGCTTTTGGATCCCCGGTTCGGTTAAATATCATTAAACTCGAATATTCCAGCACGTTTTGCAACGAGCAATTTGTCTTCGAATATTCTCCTCTAATAACGCAATTTTTACCTAAGCGATTGCGAGACATGTTACCATTATTATCCGAATATCTACGACTCGTAATATACGTTATATAACCGAACCTCTTCTATTTATAGACGACCATGATTCACGTAACGTGGCTGTAATCTTGAATTGTTAGAAAAAGGCTACGTGTCGTTTCGTTCCACGAACAAGAATCAATTTTAAGAGGTTAAAGAACCAAGTAGAAAAATCTTTTTCACCGTCATCGTCATCTTCTTCTCACGCGACAAGGTGTATTGCAGCTGGAGGAGAAAAGAAGCCTCGGTACCGGAAACCGCGTGGTTCGCGTGTCGTTTGCAAATTGCGGCTCGGTACACACCTTTGTTTCACCCCGCGGGACCTCTGGGATGACTCAGATGGCAAAGAGGAAACGTTGATCCTACGAGAGAAAGAGAAAGAAAGGGAAATCGAAGGCAGAACACGTGGACGAGCGGTTTTTCTGCACGCTCATCCTGAGATTTACCTACGATGGCCGGTACGCGCAGGAAAGCGGACCCTAAGGTCAAGTACCTTCCACTTCCGGCGTTGACTTGCACACCAGCGCACGTGTCTTCGATTTAACACTAGAATTACCAGTCAAAATGATTGATTTCAGGCTTTTTGCTTTCGTTGTCATCGCAGGCATGCAGCCGTTTTTGGTAAAATTAACGTTGATAATTATATCTATTTATTTATCTTCATCATACTTTAATTAACGTTATTTATGGCTACTATTTATATTTAGGTTCTTATTACGAGTCGAAATACTTTTCGTTTCTTTCTATTCGCCGTATGATTTCGCCGTTAATTTGGTCGAGGAATTTCTATGAGATTTTCTCAGCGGGTATCATACTCTATGACCATGCGTTGTAAACGGCCCAGAGAAAGACACCAGACTCAAGATTATAACCCAAGTACATCGTGTGGGATTCCTCGAAATGATCAACGTTGGGACTTTCGTCCTGCTTATTTTTTTCGTGCCTGTTAAAAAAGAAAAAAGGGTCGCAAAGGCTATTTCTCGGAACGTCGGCACCAATCGTGAACCAGCAGTTTAATAAGAATCCCTTCGTCCCGTTCCACAAGGAATCTTCGTTCCTGGAAAGAATCGACGTACCAAGCGTGCAGAATCCTCGTTTTTCCACTGTGCTTTATCTTAGATCCGCCACGGGGGAGATGTGTTGAAAAACTGAAATAAATCACGTGGAAGCGTGAAGAGGATGGTTTTCGGTCGTTGACCTCGCGGATTTCTGCGTTCGATGGTTCTTTTGGTTCCTGTTCGATACTTCCTTCGACCGGCTCTCCGCTATTGACTCAGCCAACAGAGTATTGCGAGAGCGACGCCGCATTTTCGCGTGCGGCTAATTGGCTCTGTTTGCCGGCGGGAAACGTTCGTACCATTCCCGTATCGTTCTCGAAGAGGCCGACACCATGATCCAAACGCCTGGGAAAGGGTTGTCAACCTTAAATGTCCCTGCGACCGAGCTAATCACTTCTTCCTTAATCATCCCGCCTCTCGTTGTTTCGTTAATTAAGACGCCGTGGAAGGCGCCTAGATTTGACGTTTCATCGATCATTGTTAAGACAAGATTACGTAAGAAAAAGTGTCACGGAGATGTTCGCACAATTCTATGATTCGGTTATTTAATGCACTCCGTAATTGAGTTCTTGTGGATCAACTATCTTTGCTGTTACGCAACTTGGAATAGAACTCGAAGTGGGCAACGGTTAGGCTCCTATAATACCGATATCGAAAGCTGGAATCTGCAAAAGGGAAGCATACGAGGATTCATGAAAATCTCAAAGTTCCTCGAGCAAATTGATGCCATTAAGGCTAATAGAATTTCATTAAATTGTCGATCTCTAATGGGAAAATCGTTCACCTTATCCGGAATTTGTCGGCCGCGTTTCCCTTCGATACTCGTTGTCGCTTGTTCCTTTTATTGCTCGACGATCGGCTGTGCTCGCGGTTGTTCATGATGGAGACAAGAAATATTGGGACTCGGATTAGCCAAGACTTGATTGGCGCTCGCGGGTAAAAAGGAGATGCCACGATGAGTCAAGTTCACGACTCTCTCATCATTGTCTCCCCACCACGGCGATGATAATGCTAAACCAAATATGATCATTGTCATTTTCTTCGCTGACTTCACAGTAATTCTCCGAACAACGACGCCTCTTAAGAAGACGTCAATTAATTACACGCTGGCATCGCATTAAACAGTGGAATTCATTTTTAGACAGTGAGTTATTCCAATAACTAACGTCACCTTCTTCCGTAATTAAATTACAATGGCTTCGAGACTTCATCGAGGCTCTCTGATCTCTTCATCGTCGATACGCGTCAGTACTCCAGCTGAGAGAGCGATTTTCTAATTTATGTCCTATGGTAATTCTTCCTTTTGCATCGATGAGATAACGATCGTAAAAGCTTGCGAATTTAGCATCGTTAATGAATTGTTTAACAATTAAACAGGTAGCGAAGACAGCTGTTATTTCAAGGTGAATGCACTTACGCGACTGGTTAATCACGGGTCATGGAATATGGAGGAGCCTATGGTCGATAACTCGCGAGATTTTCTTGCGTGCGATCGACGAAGGAAACGGTACGCTTTCCTCCTTTACACGGTGGATCCCGTGGAAAACGGTGAATGTACTTCTTTTCTTCCTCGTTACATAATTACCGGTGTACCTAGTCAAATGGCCTTAAAGACGATCTGATTAATTCCCCATTGGTTACTCGACTAAGCTCCTTTGTGTAGAAGAAATCGTGTTTTTCCACTAAATAATAACTTCCGAGGTATGGATTCAATTTTTTGCTAAACAGCAACGACCGTTCCTGGAACAGACAACTGTTATTTTTAACCTGAATACGAGTGAAAAATTCATAAGGACTAGTGGAAGGTTATTAAACCCGAAGTTAGCGGCTCGCTGACCGAACAAACGTGGACCGAATTACCAATAACAAATTATCGTGCTACGATGGTGGTACCAGACTGTCGCTGAATAGGAACAGATCCTAATCGAACGATGTGACGCCTCGATCGGGTACGCCCCGTTGGATAAAAGTGCGAACTGTTTGTAATTGATCGAACCACAGCACCGTTATATCATTCACACTTAGCTCCAATCGAATCTGCGTTTCTCGTTCGATGTACAGTTAAACGTAGCAAGGAACTACCTATCTTCTTTATCGGAAGCTAGTCGAGAAGCGACTCGGAAGAGACCACACAGAGAGTTACTTTTAGACTCAGATAGTAGAACATTCTGCGTCTGGATCATTTCAAAATCAAATTAAAATCATTTTCGTTTCCTTTCACTTCCATAACAGGCCTTCGAAAGTAGACCAAGAAATATCTAAACGTTGTCTAAGTAGTGCGGATGACTAACGATCATAGATTACGAGTTAAGAAGTAATATTTTCGCAATTTTTCAGCAACCGTTGCGATTGCGAGCACCGTGCAGATCGAGTGTGCGAGTGAGTCGATAATCGTCCACATCTCGACGGAGGGCAAGACGGATTTCCATGGTCTGGTGTATCCAAGGGGGTTGTCGAAGAACAGCTCTTGCTTGCAAGAGTACAGAAGTCAGCCCACTCCAATAACTTACAACCTGCCTCTCAGGTCCTGTAACACCATGCCCACTGAGTTGGTAAGTGGTCCTAGTTAATACCAATCTTAATATCTGGGGAAGAATGAAGCGTTTATGGGTATCGTTAATCATAGACAAATTACTAGATTACGACTTATCGCTCTGATCGATGAGAAGAAATTACCGTTTACACTACGTGTTCCCTTTGCCACGATAATAGGCAAAGCTGGCTGTTTGTCCGGACTATTAGCTTCTCACTTGGTTGCTCAATTTCTGGACGTTCGTCAATGGCGATAATTGCACGTTGCGCAGGCTAAATCCAGGTTATCGAGGTTAATCACGGTCGACCGTTGGTTTGCCCCGAGTGCAAACTTTGACGATCGTTCAGGCAGAAGGATTCTTCCAGATCGATCTGTTGAATAATCAATTAGCTAATTAATTAGTCCTTTAACCGGGAATGACGAGTCGTTTTTGCAAGTTTCTCATGGCGAGTGTAGAGTACGGTTTCAGCAAGCGGACATACCGGGTAAGAAATTAATTTCTTAATTTCTGAAGAACCTTGCTTCGAACTTTGATTACTGCGTTTTTAGTAACCAGTTGAGTTTCTTTTCTATACAAATCGGAAACCTCGGCAGTCCATTAATCGTTGAAGAGGAACGCGCGAGTCACGACGCGAGGCGGAGTCAAGTAAATTAATCAATTCATTAGCCTTCTAATTTCTCGACATCTTCGCCTCGAATCCCTGTTAAATTGCTTTTGATATCGAATTAAGTTCCTTTCCTGTACAAGTGAAAAGCTTCAGAAGCTGACTAATCGCTGTCCCGGGAGGACGGCGAATGACGGGACTCGAAGGATTACATAAGATCGCAGCGAAAGAAGTGGAATACGTCCGTGGTATTCAAGCATGAGGAAGTTCGATCAACAACGATCACGATCGTTCATACGACCCGACGTCTACGTATACTGTACATCGGGCGAAAAAAGTTGCGGAGGCGTGAATGCACGCGCGAGTACACGCTAGCGGAGAACGAGAAGCAGAGGTTCGGCGGGAGAAGAAGCAGATACGGAGGGAATCGAGGTGGAAGACGAACGGTGGAAGGAAGAAAAAGAAGGGAAGAAGGAAAATACAGAGTGAAAGAGGAGGGCTGGTTCGTGTAACGAGGGAATCGTGTGTCGAGGCGAGAGATCGCTTCCTCGCCATACCATAACTGGACCGTTATGTGACCGGACTTACGGCCTTCTTCTTACGAGCGTTACAAGAGATATGTAGTATGCCAGCAGCGGACTAACGCTGCTACGCCTTATGTCAGCGATATACTGTGCGCATGCAAACGCGTGCTCGTGTCCTTAACGGAACGCTGGTTCCTTCCACCATTTGCCGATAATGAACTGGCCGATCACGATTTTCAGCTGAACCAGAGGACACAGGGAGCAAGCAGCGTTTACTTGTACCTGGTTCCGATTGTTTTCTGGTTTCGAGCCAGTGATCTTTTTATTCGAATGTTTTATGCCGCAGGAATTTCTTGGATCAGGGTACAATGTGATACGAAAGTTTATCGCGATTATGACGGTGAAACCTAACGCTCTATTACTTTTGCATCACACTGTACTTTGCTGGAGCTGGAAATTGTAAGTATTCTACTCTTCTTGAGTCCCTCGATGCTTTCAAAATCTCCGTATTTAGGTCCTTGGCGGTATATGTTGATATACATTGCGTTGATACCCTTTTCGTCTTGAGTTAAATAGTTAACACTGATCCTAAGTCTACACCAGTGTCTTATATCTGAGCCTAGAGCTCTACCGCACTATTAAACTCCGTCTCGAGGTATTCCGCTCACTCTGTTCCTTTCTCGATACTATATATTATGTCGAATGAAATTGAACAGTTTGTAAATCTTTTTCTTGATTTTACATCTCGACTCTTTGTCTGTACACGGCTACAACGCCTACGAATGGCAGACACGGAAGTGGTAATTATCTCTTCTTATTCAATTATATTCCAATCTTCCGATACGAGCTTGCATGGGCAACTGCATATATGACGAATAGTCTTGAATCTATCCAGCACCGTGAATCGATAATGATTGCAAGTTTCCTGCGGCAAAATAGCATACCAATGATGAAAGCGTTCGGTGAAGATCATAATCACGATCGATCCCCTGTACCTTTGGCCAAGAAAATTCTCTCGACACCTGCCGATTAGTTCTTGACTTATAAGACAGGTCCAGTCCCTGGGAAATCTATGCGTGGAAGAGTTAAGTAAGATAAAGTCGCAGCTTATTCGGTAAACACTTCGTGAAGAGAAGTTCGCTGAAATACCTATGGTATCCTCGAAACAAGCACGCTTGGTTAAGGAGAGAAAAAGCTTGGCTGTCCAGGGCTAATAGCGATACTTCTACGTTGTACGAGGGTCTGCATAATTTAAGGGCTGGAATGCCG